TATCGGTGCGTGCTGCTGTGCGGCGCTGCCAGGCAGTGCCTGCTGCTGTGCGGCCTGCCGTGCGTGCTGCTGCCTATAACTGCTCCGTAGTGCACTGCTGGATGGTGTGCCCATAACACGGGACGAACTGAGTCCCAGTCTCACCCCAAAAACTAGGATAGTTGCAAACTATATCCAATTAGATACTGTTAAAGCTTCACCATAATATAGAGATCAAACGGTTAAAATGTTCTCTGATCTGATTATTCTGAATTTGGGCTAGGCAATCTCTTGGGTAGAAACAGAACCTATTTAGCAGTCGATGCTGATGGAATAACCACCCCCGACGATCCTGTAGGTAGAGAAAATGACATTCTTATTTATTACAATTAGGACTTAGAAGGCAACATCTGATAGTTCAAACTTCAACTAAAATAGTTTGTATGGATGTGTACAGGCAACAAACATGATTAAACCCGCCAAGTTGAAAGATTAAACAAAGAGTACTGGAATATCAATCTCAAGAAATTTTCAGCTACAATTTACTAAATCAACACCAATGACTAAGGGTGTCAATGGACCGGTTTTGTAATGGACATCTGGACCCTGTCCAGTCCAAAATCATTTTGGACGGATTGGATGGACCAAAAAGACATAATAGATTGGACCAATCTGGTCCAAAATATTTATTAGATTGGACTGGACCTGATCCATCCATAATAGATTTATATTGGATTTGGTTGGATTAAGCCAATATCTGGTCCATTGATATAAGATAAGAAGATTGGTGTGAATGGGCTGGATTTGGGTTGAAACCAATCTAAATTAAAATTTGAACAAACTGGATGGTCCAAACATTAAATTGGACCGGTCCAAAATGGCCCATATTATTCATTGGATTGGACATGGGACTAGATCGGATTGGACCAAATCCAGTCCAATTGACCCCTACCAATGACCAACCACAATATGAGAGATTGAGAGTATGAAAAATGGCAGGTAGGGACGCCAATGGCCAGGTTGGATTTGGTACGGGTTTACCTCAACCTAGTTCAGCCCTCCAATGCTCCCACCCAAACCCGACCCAACCTAATAGCGTGTAGTCTGCAAACCTGCCCCCAACTGCTGTAGCCTTTCAATTGTTTTTTTTTTAATAACAAATTTTGAAAATCAAGGGCCAATTGTTTAAATTGGAATTTGATTTATGGGCTCCAAAGCTCACTTTCTCCATATTCAAAGAAGAAACCAAATCAAACATGAGAAGAAATCCTAAACTTTTAAAGTTGATGGGGTTAGAAGTCATACCAAATTACAAGATACCCTCTACATATGTAATGACTTGCAGGGCTAGGACAATGAACCTGAACCTGACTTGGGTTGAAGTATCAAATTCCAAACCCAACCCTACACCTCAATAAACCTGACCCTAACTCCACACTGGGTCAAGACAAGCCAGGTTTACATTTAATCTTATCCATTAACATCCCTATTGGCAGGGCTTTGGTCATGTTGACTTCCCTGTGTGGAAGACCAAATTGCTGAAACCTCCGCTCAAGTTTCAGATTGTTGCTGAAACCTTCCCTATAGTTTGTTAATTGCAAATCACCTCCCCTAAACTTTTTGATACAGTTACAAGTAAACCCCTTGGTTACTAATGAGGTTGGTTTCTATAGAAAAAATAATACAAACTTTACAAACAACAAAAAAAGAGTTTAAAGTTGCAATTTACCTTTGAGCGATTGATATTCATGGAAAAAGAGAATGGGTTTGAGGTACAAATTGATATGAAGAGAAAATTTGAAAAATAAATATGTTGTTCGAAAGTAATTACGTGAGTGTTTTGTTCATTTTGATGCATTTTACTAGAGAATTTTAAAAGAAAGGGTTTACTTGCAACTGTGCCAAAAAATTCAGGGTAGGTGATTGAAATTAACAAACTTAGGGCAAAATTTCAGCAATGGTCTGAAACTACAGGGGATGTTTTAGCAATTTACCTTTTTTCTTGATAAGTGTGGTAACCTGTTCATGGGCTGGCCCAGCCTGAGCCCATTATAAGTCAGGCTCGGGCCTAAAGCACTGGGCCCGATTTTTTTCAGGGTAGGCTCGGGCTTTCTCAAAAAAGCCTGGCCCAAGCCCAACTTGATATCATATATTAAATAATAAAAATATATTTTATTTAATAATATATATTTACAATATTTTTTCTTTGTTCTTCTCTTTTTTCCAAGTAATAGTAAGATGTTTATTATTTTTGAGTTTTGAAGGTTTTTAATATAAATAAAAACATTTTTTTGTTGAATAAAAAAATTTGTTTTCAAATTTCTGGCCGGGCTCGGGCCTGAGTGTATTCTGTTGATACAAAGCCTGGCCCAAACCCGGCCCAGCCCATGAACAGGTCAGTGGTATGTATTACCATAAAGAGGGAAGCCCCCAGGTGTAAACAAAAGGCGTATTTGAGAGTATACAAATTACAAAGGCATGTACAGGATACACTATCCAAACAATAAAAAAATACTAGCCATCTCCAAAAATGATGGATGACCAGTTGGTGCCAATCAAAACTTATCCCATGGAAGAAATGGAGAATCCCAGCTCATCAAACTAATAACCATTCTGTCTCACTCATAATCTCCTTTATTGAGGACTGAGGAGGCTTTCGACTAAAATAATTCCTCGAGAGGCACTCCTTCCATAAGGCCCAACAGAGTCCGGATCTCCTGCCCACACAAACTGCCCACGTTTGTCGCAGCCACACATGGAGAACATCTCAACCTCTGCATAATATTATGCAGGGGGAGATGTTCCCAATTCACGGGGGTAGTGTGTTGTGAGTAGACGTGGGCAGGAGATCCGGAGTCCCAACAACACGGCAAATAGAAGTGGCTTTCATGGGAGTCACCCTTATCAACCACATTGACTCCTCATCCTCGGTGTCCTCAAAACCTTGAATAACCACAAAAATAAGAAGTGGATAGCTCTAATCTGCAAGTTGGCTTGGAGTATTTGGCTAAACAGAGAAAATGATTTTTAACTATTCACGTGCTGATCCTCTTAGTGCCTTTAATTATGCATGCAGATCCATTCTTAGAGATAGATTTGCAGTTTGCAGAATTATGGAGAGGAGTGTTGGTGATCATAAAATGGCTTTCTGAAAACCTCCAAAACATAACTGGGTGAAAGTGAATATTAATAGAGGTTTTTGAGGTCATTGTGCTGCTTTTGGAGTAGTAACAAAGTCTCATAAAAGGAAGTTTTTTTGGTTGCAAAATATGGTTCATGAAGATTGAAGCATTTCCTTTGAAGGAAGGAGCCTTTTGGGTTAAAAAGCTAAAGGTAAACAGCGTCTATTTTGAAAGTGAATGCTTGGAGATGATTCATAACGTTACCCATCTAAGAATGCAAAAAGGGATTATTTTTGTCTTGAGAGATACATCTCATATTTTAGAAAATGTCTGTTTTTCAGTCCTGTTTTACATCCAGGGAAGGAAATGAGGCAGTTCACATTGCTGCCCAAGGAGGCTTTACAGGTGGAGATTGGCAGAGTTCTGCCCAATGGTTGGAGAATGTTCTTTTGATGGGAAGTGAGGCTTGGTCAATATCTGGTAAGAATGAATTATGCTAGTTACCTAGTATATGGGCTGTGTTTGTCTGTTTTTGTTTGTGTGATTCTCTTGTTATCATTCTGGATTGCTCTCTGTTGTTGCTCATTGCTGTTTAATGAATTCGGTTTAGCAAGAAAAGAAAAATCATTGCACAGACTGAATCAAAGCCAAAATAAACTACATAAATTCTCTGTTTTCAGAAGCAAGATCTGTTTCATTATAAATATCATAAAGCTCAAAACATCATTATTAGACTTTGAAAAGATAGAATCTAATAGGATAGTTTTAAATTGTAGCATAGAAGAAATTTCTAAAAAAACATTGTCTTGAACATGGTATGAGAGGATGTAAAAAGAAAAATAAAGAAAGATATGTTTCTAGAAAAGAAAAAAGTGAAATTCATAATGGTCTTAAATTCTCTTCTTTTGGGGCTTTGTGATTTTAACAATTTTCACCACATTCAATAAATTTCTCTATTACTAACAAAAAGGATATCTATATGGGACATCACACCCAGATCAATGAAAGACAAACAGGAGATACCTGTCCATTGTTAGTCTTATCATGGTTCCAGCAAAACTAGTATAACAACAAAAAGGAGAGCCATAACATGACAGAATGAACCCAACAATGTATGATGTGCAATATTTCTTGCTATTGAGTAAAGAATGCATTCAAACAACTCTCAAGGGTTTCTCTACCAAAAAAAAACTCTTTAAAGAAATAACAGAAGGGTATGAATCTCAATAACTTGTACCAAAGTATTGTGAAGGAGCACAAAGAGAAAATGTAGCTCAATCTCCTAAAGGCTCCCATGAAGAACCTGAGAGGATCTTCTTCATCTCAAAAACATAAGATTCCCCAGCTTCTTTGCATGTGTGGAGGCAAAGGTGCAACCAGATTGAGGCTCTCCAGTTCTGAAAGATCACAATTTGAAGATGATTGCAAATGTTGTAGAGCCAGGGCTATATTAGGAAAAATCATCTGTCTACAATGAAGATGCAGGTGAGGCTGCTTCTCTGCAATGCTTCCACCCTCTGAATCAAGGCCAAATGGAGATTCCTTTGACCTTGGAAGTTTCTTGTTCTTCTGAGGATTTGACCAAGAAAGAGGTTTCCATTTCCTGTGAGCTTGCCAACCATACTTGTAGTCTCCAACTATTGGTGTCCCCAGGACCTCAGCACAGTGGACACGGAGCTGTGTTATCAGGGAAGGGGTTAGAAAAAAGTGTACCATAATAGACAGATTACTATCACTGAGTACAGAGATCAGACCTGACCTGGTGTTTTCTACCAGTAAGTGGACACAACTCTAACCATGTATATCCTGTGGCATAGATGAGCAAACATAAATAGACACGTAAGACCAACATTATGTGTGATTAATAAATAAAGGTGCAAGCAATGCAACACACAAATCAAACTGGGAACTTTGCCATGCACAAGGGCACAGCATCAGGTGGAGTTGGTCCAAGTATTCCAGCAGCTCTCTTGAAAGAGATCCCAGGTTGTATGAGTTATCTCAACTGTTCAAGACCTCCGTATCATCAGGATCTCACATTGTCTTTGCACTTGATTCCTTGAGATTGGAGGTAGAGGATGATGATTAACATGTTGTAGTGAGATGGTTGCAAGGGGAATGAGGGCACTTGGGTTTATCAGCATTGTATTAGAGAAGAAAAATCATTTGCATCCAGAAAGAATATATCATTCTTTTGGATTAGATTTGCTAATGATTTAGCCGATTCATTTTGAATCCCATTCAATGATGTCATAAATTGCTTTTCTTAGTTACTCCTATCACTTCTCTCTTTTAGAACTGTTGTCACTTGACATCTTTTCATGAAATCCTGGACAGCATCTTCATAAAATCCATTGTATATTTCCTAATGTATTTAAATATGAAAGATAATGAAAAAAAAGAATATTCTTAAGTAAATGGTCAAAATAACTTTGAGTGAATTAAATGAAAAATGACCTATAACTTTAATTACAATTATTTAGTTTGTTGAAATACATGTTGTCTTTTGGATATGGCTTCATAAATTTCCTGTTAAGAATCACTTAACGTTTTTTTTTTAATTTTTTTTTATTTTTGCATCTCTTTTCAAATGGAATAAAAGTTTAGGTCAACAAGGAGAAGAGACTGGTTCAAATCTTCTTCATTCCTTGGAGATCCTTCTCTCTCTCTCCTTATTTTCTCTTTTTTCTCTATCGTATCAAGAACCTTTTCAGTGCAGTGAACTCAACTGTCTTCCCACTGTTTATAGAATCTATTATATTTCTTAATGTATTTAAATATGAAAGATGATGAAAAAAGATTAGTCTTAAGTAAATGGTAAAAATAATTTTTTTTGAAGATCAAAATGGTAAACATAACTCCAGTGAATTAGATGAAAAATGATCTATAACTTTAATCTACAATTATTTAATTAACCTAAAAAATGACTTTTAAGTTAAACATAAAATTCAATAAACTGAATAAGCCCTATCCCAACTATATCAGGTCAGCTACAAGAATCCTCTTTTTAATCATTAGCTACATCATTGTACTCCATCAAGAACTCTTTCTTTAGTCAAATTGTATGTATACGCATCCCCTTTGGCCTTCCCCTTACTCTTTTGAGCCTTGTATAATTTTGATAAATCTTTTCTATATTAGAATTACATCTTAATAGAACAGTACACTTTTTGTTTAATGCATTCAATCTGGCCCCTCTAAGAAAAAAAAAATTCTGGATTTACCCTGCAAAGTATGCTACTGATCTAGAAGTATGCACAGCCACATGCCATTTATAAAGCTTTATTGACATCATTCAATGCCATAATCTTCTACAAAAGGTCACTGTAGCCAAGTTTTTAGCTAACCATGAGCTGAAGATTTCATCACTTGATATTTTGTTACTGCATGCTGAGATGAGATGGCATTGCCATTGGTATCAACGGTCATTCGTTCAGATTTCCCATCATCCAGCACCACCTGTAAACAATAAATTAGTTGCTGCATAGCACATTTGAACCACAGTCATTAATCTAAAGAAATATATTAAACAACATAACCGGAAAATCTATACCATACATTGTATGCAATGGTGATACTTGCCTTGGCCTCACTTCTTTTGATAGAGAGGCACAGGAAGTAACAAGTTACTGAAACTTCTCTACACAACTTTGAAGAAAACAGAGTTTATGCTCTCAAACTTACCAGTATTAACAAAACCCTTCCAGTATTGATAAAATTCTCTCTCTCTCTCTCTCCATCGTTTTTATTCTATTCAATGTTTAGGAACTGGACCAGGATGGACGGTCTGCTATCACCTGGATCCTAAAATAGATTTCTTAATTCACAGTTCCTAAATCCTAAAGAACCATTTAACTCAAAATGAACCACATGGGAGGACCATTGATCCCAAGAAATTCTTATGGTTTTCACAAAGCCATATAGTTAAAAGGGAAGGCTTTTAGTAGCATCCAACAATTTGCATCAATCTTTGCTGGGAAGAGGAGGGGAAAAAAAGAAAATTTTGAAAACACTAAGTGACAAGACACAAATCTAGGCATCAACCCACAAATCAATGAAACACTGATTCAAATTCAAAAATATAAACAAATAATTAAATGAAAAAAAGGAAAAAAAAATTAGGAACCATCAAGTGTCAAGAAACAGATCATATCTAGGCATCAACCAATTGGTTGCAGGGGAAGGAGACAGACAGATTTATAAGGAAAAAGAATACAAATTGTTCTTGTAGTGAAAAGGTATAGATGATTGGAAGATGGCATTCTATTAATGAAAGCTTGCATCTTTTGAGGTGAAAATGGAAGTTGTGGACAGATCCAATCAAGAGATGTGAGATCCGAGAATCCTAGGTCAGAACTTCAATCAATCAATTTATCATTCCAAAAAAAAAAAGAATTATAAAAAAACAATGAATTGTTTAGTTTCATTTTGATTTTCTTCTTCCCATGCGAAATTTATTCCTTTGTATCATCAGATATTCAATGATAGAGTAAAAGGCATCTCAAACTTCACAAGACCATCTAGAAAGAAGGCAGAAATGAGTTTTCTCATTTAAAGCCAATATCCATTTTAAATTATTAGTGCAGAAATGAGTTTCCTGAACTTCGAAAATAAAACAATAAAGGAAACTTAAAAGGTTATTCATCAATAATAAACTAACCTTTCCTAATGGGGCAGAAATTAATCCGTTAGCCCGTTTTGGAGTTCCAATGACAAGTGCCCAATACCTCCTTTGCAAGATCATTTTATCATTGTCCTTAAAGGTGAAAAAACAAAGAAAACAAAATATATGGAGGTTTGAAGTTGGAATTCAATTCAAAACATAAGAAAAATGTAAATAACATAAAATATATGTAATCTGTTACTGTGTATGTTTGGCTTACACTATACAAAGACATGGAAACTATAAAAAAATTGGCATACTCCTTTGTACATATCACACATTCTTTCCATATATTAATAAAGAAAGTTTCAGTTAGTGATCAAAAGAAGAAAATTACATACACGGAAACTAGAGGGAAAAAGGATTAAGAGCTTACTCACATTAATTGATGCTCCAAAAGTTTTCTCTCGGAAAATAGAATGCAGAATTGTTGCACTTGTTTGTGTCCTCCCCATAACTAAAATGCCACTGCTATCTCTGTCAAGTCTATGAACCTTGTGTGTGGCAAGATAAGCAATTACTTCAAAAAGTTAGTAGTTGTGGTGCTGACAAACATAAGAAAAAATTCAAGTAACTTTGAAGATCTTATAGAAAACGAAGAAGTAAATCCAAATTAACCTTATTTTAAAATGCAATCATCGGTTAAAGAATCTCATATTGCTTTTTTGAATCCTGATTTGGTATTTTGTGGTTCTGAGGTCTTGAGCCGTTTTCATATACCTTGTCTTTTTCTTTTTTTGGTAATAAAATAAAATTTACTAAAAGGAAAAAAGAAGATACAAGAAAGGTGACCAGAAGCCACCCAAATGAAGAAAAAGAAAACAATCCCAAACTCTAAATACAACCCAACAACAAGCCCACAACAATGACAACCAAAAAACCAAAGGCAACAAACATCCAAACCCCAATAATTGGACTGCAAAAGAGCAACAGACTCCATCAGAACTCCAACAAAATACCATACAAGATGATCCTCTCTTTCATTTTAATATATTTTTGGATTGAAACCAATAAGAAAATCTAAGTATGAACTGGCTAAAAATTGCATCTCTTCTTGAATGGTGCAAGGATAACCTTAATGAATGTAAAGATGCTACACATGGCAAAATAAGGATCAAGCAATTAGTCTGAAAAAAGTATAAAATGTACAAAAAATAATGAAAGATGCAAAGTCAATGATTGGCAATCTATTTGGGGGATAGGTACAAAATTTATAACTTTATATTGTTTTAATATAGAAAAAAAGGTGTACCCAAGACAACATCAGAAGAAGTGCTTTCAAGAAGAGAATTATAAAGCTTCTGAAGCTTTTCCATTTCATAAGTTGTACTTTTCAATGTAGAAAACATTAAAGGATGTGTCTTCCCTATTTATACATACGACTATGGTACCTTAATATTCATGTAAGTATTATAAATCCCATTTTAGCTAGTACATGCCACTTCTTGCAATTCTAACATGTGAATCTGCCATTTTAATGAAAAACTCCATGTTTCTTGACACTAGTATTATAAATCCCATTTAGCCAGTACATGCCACTTCTATGACAAACTCCCCGGAGTAGGGCTGTTCATCAAACCGATGAAACCGACCAACCTGACCCAATTCGACATGATCTGGTCAGTTTTCTAATTATTTTGGTCGGTTTTGGTTCAGCTTTTATGCTAACTTGAGAGGTCGGGTCAGTTTCGGTTTGGCCATTTGTAAACCAATCTGAGCAGACCATAGATACATATTAATTTTTTATATTTTAAATTTATATTTTTTTAATATGGGAAAGTGGGAAATTCCCGTATTTCCTAGTTTAAAGTATTTTATATTGGAAGTTTTATTTTTTTTTTAAATTTACTTTTTAATAATACCATTACAATTCTTTAAATTTAAATTTAATTTTTTAAATTTAAATCTTCTGAACCAATTGACCAAATTGATACACCCGAGTTGGCCAGTTTTCACCATTGGTCGGTTGGTTTCGGGTGACCAACTCCCCAACCTGGTCAGATCAGTTTGGTTGGCCAAACAGCTTGGAACTGAACCAAACCAACCTGCGAACACCCCTACCCCAGAGGCCTAACATTTCCAATATGTGTGGGGTTTGGCTTCTCTAGATGGCATACCAACCATAGGGCTGAAAGAAGTGAGGCACAACCAGTCTAGCCATCGGGTGGTTGTTTCGTACCTTGATGAAAAAGTAAAGGAAAAAGAAAATTGATGGCAGGAGTGAAGAAGAATTGGTTGCAGTAGCTTCCTTAGGATTGGTGTCACAGATTATAAGTTATGTTCCTATACATGTAGAGACTGGAACCTGACCAGGTCTCCTCAGCACTGTTCCAGATATCATTTGCTTGAAAATAATAAAACCTATTTTCTCACGAAACTCACCAGCCGAGGAGGTTCTGAGTAGTCATATCTTAAATAAGTTGCAGCCAGTTCATCCAAACTTTTCTTGATGCCAATCCCACCCTGTTTGTGGGCAAGAATCAGTAATGGAAAAAGGAAGTCAAACATAGAGCAGTCCACTCTGTTTCAAAAAACTTACCTGAACTGGCATGCCATGGGGCTTATTAACAGCAATGATGGCTGGATCCTAAACGTTAAAATTATGAGTGGTTACGTGTTAAAAGTGAAACAAAATACTATTCTTACAAACTGAAGAGCCAAAAGTTGGAGACCTTGTACAACTCAAGGCTACAAATGTAGCTTATTTCATCCTCATTGCAGTAGTGTTCCTGTGTCTCAGAAGGAAGCTCTTGAACAGTGATTGGAAGAAAGATTCGATCTCCTAAATTCATAACCTCCTTTGCTGTGACCTTACCAATAATTTAAATAATCAAAGCCTTGTTAACATTGATAATCTATAAATAGATAATAGTGGGCAAAATTTAAGCAAATCAATTGGTATAGCTAATTTCATTACCCTCTTCAGCCTATGTTCTTGAGCATGATTTCCTATATCAAGAGAACTCATTGAATCACAAGATTCTCTTCGAACCTGTCATAAAAAAAGAAAAGAAAAGAAAAGAAAGTTAAGAATCAATAAGTAAACAAAAGGTCCTCCTTTCCTTTTCCTTGTTCTTTAAGAACCCTTCTCTGAGTAAGGTGAATCAAAACATGATCCAAGGGTTAAATTGTGAGCATTGAGCACCATCTGCTTGACCGAGACAATTCATCCCATTGCATAACTTTCTTTCTCTCTTCCCTTTTTAAATTCTTGACTATGTAATAAAATTAGAGAGAGAGACATGACTGCCCAAATAATGCCTCCCGAAAACACCCCTCTTTACAAAGATATATAATGCCTCCCGAAAACACAGACATGACTGCCCAAATAATCTTACACAAGACAACAAAACGGCCCCAACACAGCTCCCCTCAGAAGCACCAAAGCAACACCTAAAGCAAAATTATAAAAAAAGATTCTCAAACTACCACCAAACCTAAACTGACTGATTGCTAGAATCAATTCTTAACAGCCCTGCCCACTCAAGGCTTCAATCTGTTCTTCAACAGAGATTCCCTCTTCCTCCCTAATCTCTCCTCCCTGAGGGAATTACATCATGAACCACCCCTGTTTCAAGGCCATGCCCTTCCAGCTGCTTTATGCGTATTCCACACTCTCAGAAGCCACACCTTCTAATTCAGAAGCAGAGGGGCATGCCCAAGTTCAACGTGTCTCTACCTGATCCGAAGTAATGAAAGCCGCTAATAGCTACGTATTTAACTGGATTTAAAACCAGAATTCAACATATAGCAAGGGCGACACTGACTTTCACAAGGGTTTGAATTTGAATCACATACAAACTTATGATTCCAACATTATAACCGGGTATTTCAAAAAACATACCTGAAACCTGTGATTACCACTACCAAACTTTGCACAATTAACATCCTTATAGAAAGAGTAGGAGAAGGCAAAACCCATGTATGTGAAAAACATAAATAAGTTTCCAACAAGAACTGCCTGAGTTAATCCACAAGACTAACCTGTCTCAGGCGGAAGAGCTTTTGCACAAGGCTCCTAGGGAGGTGAGGGCAGCAACGGAGAACCCATTTCAGAGCCGTTGTGCTAGTGGTGGTGTTGGTGGTTTCCCCCTTCAAATCGGAAGGACGACTCGAGAGCGCTTTGACTACAGATACAGCGTCTATGGAGGAAGAGACGGGAGGTAAAATGAGCCATCTCCCCTTTTCTGTCTTCTTCTGTTTCTCTTCTTTCGAGGCAGCAGCCGCAGTGTTATACCAAGTGCACAGTTGCAACGACAGATTAGCGCAGAGTTTCGAAGTCGATTGCGTTATTGGTGAATGAACGGAAGCTCGCCGAACGAGCAGAGCTTCGAACATTTTTCAGTTGGGGTGGTCGGGTGGGCGTCGATATATAGTTACGACTCATGAAGACCCCGAACGAAGGGGAAAGCAATTGTGTCGATACTCTATCATAGTGGTCACTGGTCAGTGGACTACTTTCTTCTCACAACTCATTGACGATGGTGCGAGGCGCGTTACTATCGAAGTCTAATAGCCCTAATGCCTTTGCGGCCAGGGGGCGTTTTTTTTGAGATTTTGAGAGGGGAAAGTTGGTCAATTAAATGCACTTATCCGGTAATGCATTTATGCGGATAACTAACTTAATGAACAGTGCCTAAAATGGGCTTGAGCTAGGCCCAATTAGACGTACATGTAATGATGTAAAACATAGCAGCCGTTTCCATCTAGGGATGCAAGTGGATTGGATCATGATTGTGGCAAACAACTTCGTACTTTGTTAGACAAATCTATTTTCCCTCCCGGCAAATGACAGATAATACGTTAGTTGTCCATGAAATGTTCCATTTTTTGAAACATCACAAACGAGGTATAAATTTTGTTGCCATAAAGTTTGATATGGCCAAGGCCTATGATCGTCCCACTAGAGAGATTAGGCAAGGAGACCCTTTATCTTTGTACTTGTTCATTTTAGCTATGGAATATTTTACTCAAATGATTTTGAAAGCTGAAATGGAAAACCAATTAACAGGTATCCAGTTGTCTAGACAAACCCCAATCATCTTTCACATTCTTTTTGCTGATGATATTCTTTTATTCTTAAGAAGTCATAGAGATGAATTAGATAATATGAAAAATCTCCTCCACCAATTCCAAGAATCCTCAGGACAACTCATTAAGCTAGATAAATCAGGGATTTATTTTAGTAAAAAAACCCACCCAAGACATCAGTGAATAATCCGTAGACAACTCCAAATTGGAAATATCCCTGTAAATTCAAAATATCTAGGTCTCCCTCTCATTTGGGGCAGGAATAAACATTCCCAACTTTCCTTTATCTTGGATAATTTAAAAAGTAAACTAAATAATTGGAAAGCTTCCTCTATTAGTCAGGCGGGGAAATTAGTTCTTATATAGTCTGTTCTTCAAGCTATCCCTTCCCATGTTATGTCAGTTTCTCAATTACACCAAAAAACAATCAATGGTATTTGATCAAATCATTAAAAATTTTTGGAGGGGTAAAACTGAAAACAACTCTTAGGGTCCATGGGACAAACTGTCCTTACCTAAATCTCTTGGTTGCCTAGGTTTTCGAAAAACCAAGCTAGTAAATATCACTTTTCTCAAAAAACTCGCTTGTCATTTATTAAATGAACCTCAGAAATGGGGGGCCCAAATTTGGAAATCCAAGTACTTGTTTTCTAATACTCCTTTTCCTTACTCCATACCTAGATCTAGTTCCTTCTTTTGGAAATTTGTTGCCCCTAAGCTTCAAGCTTTATCTCAAGAAACCAGTTTCCTTGTCACCAATAATTCTGAGATAAATATCAATTTCTATCCTTGGATCCAAAACGGTGACAGTTTTTCATTTCTAAATCAGCCTATACCAGCTCATCTTCGAAACTTATCTTTTGCTGACTTAACCCTCAATGATCATTGGAACATTCCCTTAATCCAAAACAATTTTGAATCTAATCAAGTCTTGGCAATTCTCAATACCCCCATCTTTCCTGATAATACAACAAATCCTTGGATCTGGACAAAACATTTCTTAGGAAAATTTAAAAATTCAATAGCTTACTTAGATGTTCTACAAGGTGGTATCCTTCATTATGTCATTCAAACCAACTTTCCCAATCGTCTTATTTGGAGTTTGAGTTGTCCCCCAAGGTATAAACTCCTATTGTGGAATGTCATCAACAACTTCATCCTAGTTAAAGAAAAACTTTTCTCCTCTTTTCAAGATCAATCTTGTAGCTTCTGTCATATAGAAATTGAAACTGTTCAGCATTGATTTTTAAGTTGTCATTTTGCAAAATCAATTCTTTTTGCCGCTCCTTCAAATATTTTAAATCCTAATTCCCCTTATCATTCTTGGTATGAAGGGCTTCAAGATCTTTTGCATAAAATTTCTGATAAGCATCTCCTTAAACAAATTCTTAATTGGTATGCCATTTCTCTTTATTATATCTGGTTTGCTCGAAATGAACGTATTTTCAAAAACTAGACTATTTCTAATCATTGGATAATTTGGAAAACTAATAGTATCTTTCATAACATTTCCTCAAACGACTTAGACGTAAATCCTGATCTTCCTCTACGATTCTACCTAAAGACTATTCAGATTATTGATTATATCATCTTTACTGATGTAGGGAAATTAATAAACTTTCTTACATATTCTACTTGACTCACAACTATCCTGCTTGCAAATTACAGGAGGAAGGGAGATTTTAAAATCAGTTGAAGAAGCGAAACTTTTTGCCATCCATGAAGGACTCTCCATCGCCCAGTAGTTAAGAAAATGTCACATTTTGCTCTATTCAGATTCGAAAGCAGTTATCCAAGCTCTTGAAGATCGTTCTTCTTTACATTGGTCTCTTTTAAGCTTCTTAACAAAGACCAAAAGTTTACTGCTTTCTTTTAATTTTCATCAAAAGGAGGTACATTATTCCTGCTCATCAAATAGCTCAGTTAGCCAAAATATTACAGCAGGATTCTTTTGTATGTTATGAGTACCATCCTCTTGTTCCTCCGGTACAAAACTTTATTTTTTGTTCTCCTTGTTAATATAATATTTTTCCGTAAAAAAAAAAAAAAAAAAAAAGTGGATCGGGTCATAATACGTTCTGATATCCAACCCTAATTGGTCTTTCGGTCACCTTGGTCTGGATTTTGGATAGGATCAGATAATAGGATCTGATCAGAAATCGGATTGAATTGGATAATCCCTATTCGATCTGATATATATTATATATTTATAAATATATAATACATATATGTATGCTATTTATTTATTTATAAATATAATTTTTATATTATACTTTTTAAATTTGTTATATTATTTATTTATTTTTATAAAAAACATATATATATATATATGATAATAATAATTAAAAAATACTTGTATTTTTTGTTTATTACTTTATTTAAATCAATATATTTTATTTTTCTTTTAATAATTTATTAATTTTTAAAGAAAACAAATCAAATCGAATCAGATCAGATCCAAAGATCCAACTTACTGATAAGATTCGAATTCAAATCGAGCCTTATCAGATCCAACCGGATCTTCGGATCGAACATGAACAGTGTTGGATTAGATTCAAATATACCTTGATTCGAATCCAATTCGATCCATTTGCATCCTTATCTCCATTCATTTGTTTGTTGTGAAATTTTCATTGCACTGGGTTAACAACATGAGAGTACAAATTCTAGTTTAGTTTTGGCTCAGATGATCTTGACTTCTTCATGTTTTCATTACAATCGAAAAGGAAACCCTTTAAACAAAAAGGGTTTGTAGTTTATTAATATTTAAGATTTCCACTAGAATTGAGATATGTTCTTCACAGGCCTCACACCAACCTTATAGCCACACCCCACCCTGTATTGGGAATATCTCTCCATGAATAATAAATACAAGTGTGGGAGATGTTCCGATGTGCGACTAGGACACGCAATGAGGAGTAGAACGAGACTCTTTTTGCCAAGGATTAATTTGTAATCAAACTGAGTAAGACAAAGATTGTTGTGGCCGAAGCTTCCTTGCCTTGCCCTCTTGTTACGATCAGGCTTAGCCTTGCCTACGCTTGGCAGGCTTATGTTAAGGGACATCACCGTCATTTTTGCCTGTAAGATTTTTGGGAGAATTGATGTTATCTTCAGGCAGACCACCAAAAGCTTAACGTACTCTTTGAGGAGGGGTGGTCGACCTCCTTGGGTGCCTAACCGTAGCACTCCTAGACCAACTTCCCTTGCGGGGCAGCCCTGGTTAATAGCTAGCATGGCTACCAGGGTTCCTCATGGGCGCACACTTGCTCATAGGGACAGTCTATGGACCGGCACTGCGCTGACGACACTCAAGGGAGGCTTGGCATGCGGGCCTGGCTCAAGCATGACCCTTCACCATGCCAGCCCCTTGCCCAAGCTAAGTGAGTTACCCCGTTGCCTATAGCGCACGGGTGTGCTCCGGTCCAAGCAGTTCATCATGGCACACAGGTGCCCATCATCATCGGCATACAGGAGACCCTTCACATCGGTGCCAAGTCACCTCTTCGGCGCATAGCCGCCTCACATCATGGCCATCCCCCTTTAGCACGTAAGTGGCGCCTCCCATGGACCGGCCAGAGCCAGCAGAGTGCCCCGGCCATGCGACTTGAGGTCATGATCCAGTGCTACTGACCTTGGTGGAGCCATCATCATTGGGCAACTCCTAGCCTTGCAGCACACAAAGGCTTGTCCTGGCCTGGACGCCACACGGGTTTCTTCCATTGTAGAACTACCCCCGTAACAGTTGGTATCAGAGCCAGGTTGCCAATTGCAGCCGCAGTTGGTGTCAAGCAGATTAGCCCAGAGCCAGTTGAAGCGGTCATCTCGACAAGCAACACATCATGGGGTGCGGTCCCTAGGCACTTCCACTCGGGTTCAAGCAAGCAGCATTCATATCAGGCCTGGTAAGAGGCCATTCATTCGTGTCCCCATTCCAATGACCCTAAAATAGCTTCCCTTGCGGGGGCAGACACATTGGTTGCTGTGCTCATGCGGGGGTAGACGAGTGAGCCTTTTTTGGAAGGCATATTGTGGCAGTTTGAGTGGGGGAGTGCCATGCTTCCTCACGGACATCAGTTGCTGTTCATTTTGGTGAGGTGTTGGGCGGTGCGCCTACATCTTGGTTTCATGACAGATGAGCCATTATTCCGTAGCTTTGTCTGAGGCACTACTAAGGCAGGGACAACAGTCCGAAATTGGTTGGTGTGGACGGTTGGTCAAGGAATATCACTGAAGTGGCAATTTTGCATAGGACGGGTCCTCGGTTGAAGCCACAATATATTGGAATGTTAGGAATGTGGGTACACTGGCCGTTGGAGCATGGCGGCCCTGCATCGGCAAGGTATCAGGAGGACATGCTCAGCATCATCAGTTGAAACATTCGCAGCAGCGACAACGCATCACAAGGCAAGTGCATGTTCGGCAACATCATGGGTAAAAGTTGCCACCACTCGCACACATTACGGTCAGATCTCCTTGAGGCAGCAACAGTGGGGCCCCCTCGGAGCGAAGAGGTAGCCCAAGTCGGCGAGGC